TGCTCTAGCTGTCTCTATTCGTGATAGCTCTCTCTCTCCAATTCTACCTTCAGCTGCGATTATGCACTCTAGTTAGTTAAGGCTGTTAGCCACTTCCAGCTGGTAACCACTTCCAGTGAGTGCAGGCTCCTGCCAGTCTTGAACAAGCAATTTGCACTTGGATGGTGCAAAGCACATACCATACCTGGATACTTCTATCAACAAGCGGTGTAAAACGTCTTGAACTACTTGTGGGCTGTCACCTTACAAGGCGATGTCACCGACGTGTTCTGAGTCTCTGAGAGGAGTTCTATTCCACCGTGCTAGACCGGACAAAGCGTTCTGTAGAACATCTATGAGAAAGGGTAAGAAGAATGGCGACATAGGGCAACCATGTCGAACTCCACTGCAAACGTTGAAAGGTGGCCATAGGTGCTAACCCAACCTGAGGTATGGCGGTACAACTCATTCAGGATCGACGCTTACTTCTCAGGTACTCGATACCTTAAAAACAGTTTCACAGTACTTTCCCATCGACACAGTCGAAAGACGCGCGTGTATATAAGAACCTAATGATTCTTAATCTTCAATAAATGAATAATTTTTTAAATCTCTTTTTTTTTATTAGACTTAAAGCGATTTAGAGGAAAAGGGGCATGCTACAGGGGAGAAGGTATGTGGGGAACATGCAAGCCAGGATCAATTTATTAATTTCGCTTTTGAAAAAAGGAAGACCATAGGCGCATGGAAACACGGAGCTGGAAAGGATGTTTCAAAATTTCGCAGTCCTGAGCGATTTTTACGCATTTTTAGCATATGGCCGTGATCAAGATGTCGAAAGCAAGGACACACATGAATACTGCTCAGTCATACTCCCTCAAGTGTCTACAAGCACCAACAGTACATATCTCTCCGATCCCAGTCGGACCATATAACCTAGCGGTTAAAGATAGCCTTCGTTTGATCCACTGCGCCAACCGTATTCGTCCAATCAGACAGGACGAAATTCCATTGCTCAAAGCACCACCGGTGTTTCTCCAGCTTCACAAAACGCTCAGGGCTCGCAACAAGAATAGACGGACTAAATCTAACGCATGAGCCGCCTCTCGTTCAATACTGGTTTATACGCACTTGTGTCAGTGGCCAACAGTTAACGTTGATTGAACTGAAAAGTCGTCTTATGACTCTGAGTCGGTAGCAAGGACGACTGCAACTGTGGACCTCGTGGGGCAGTGGCCAGTCCGTTCGTCATTGATATTGTAGAACTTGACCTATTCGGTCCGTCCACAATATACATCGTTGGGACCCGGATTAAACCTCAGTATACATTTATGCTGGCTAATCATCACCTCTCATGTACTGTATAACCACAGAACCGGCTCATCCTACAAAGACAGCTAGTCATCTGTGAGTAAAGAGTCAAGTGGGTAATTTCGCTGCATTTATCCACCTGCAGTGAACACGATTTTTCTAGTCAACGAAATAACAAAGCATTAACAATCGCATCGAATCACCACAGACAAGAAGGGTGTTTTTTTGCTGATCGATAACAATGGCTTTCTCACCCTCGTCTGCATCATCAATTGCATTGTAGAAAACCATGCTTGCAAAGTAATCGAAGTTTTTCACCTAATTTTCTGCATTCCATTCGAGAGTTCGTGTTTGGTATAAACTGCATGATCGTACGTTAAACTACGATGTAAAATCATGAATTTGTCAACCAGTCACCGTAATCAAGTGTTCGTTTCCAGGACTCATGCTGCTGGTTTTCACGGAATGGCAAGATTGAAGAACATCCCCCAATATTAGTTTTTCCTTCTACCCATAAAACTTTTTGGAAATATTTCTAACATCTGCATTCCTGTATTGTGTTTACCCGTTCCTTACTGCAGCTGGCTTGGAGAGGNGATGGACCGGCTCCATGATGATCATGGAGTTTCATGAGAGTTTGGTACGAGAGACGTCCCCAGCGTCACCCGACTTTCTGTTTCGAGGGTACACCTCTAGCCTTAGCACAGCCAAGTGCGAACTTCCAGGCAGCAATGTGTTAGATCATTTTTGTCCTAGGAAATCATTCGCGATCCGGTACACGTAGCTTTAACCCAGTGATCCACGCATCCCTGTTATTTGGACAGGCTTCCTTCATAGTCGTTGAAGCAGATAGTAGATCCCATCCGCTCATGTAAGAGTATCTATCTTCGCATTCCGTTCACCGAATCGCCAAGGATTTTATACCTCGGTTACCCTCAACCTGATTTACCCATCTGTCGAGCGGTTTGCCGGAGTGTGACCGCTGATGCATGCCTCAGCTTTGTGGACCCACAGATGAGAGGTAAGAGAGCACATAATATAGACCAAAGTGGTGGGGGAGGATGCCCCAACGGGACACGACAGCTTAACCACTCAGAGGTACTATTCCTATCAGATGCCCGTACACCTCACTTTGCACTGTAATGATAAGTAAGAATTCCACATACACAGATTAACATGTTAATTAGTTCGTTGCTCTGTTCCCCGCGCTGTCAACAGTCATTTGATGACACTCCATTTATTTCGTGCTATTTTATTTTATCGGACATGTTAATTGTTCTTTTTCTTGGTTAATGATGAGTGGGATAATCAAATGAACGATTTATTCTCAATGTTGATATTGAAACTAGCGGATTTGAAATAGTTTAGATTATTCTCAATGTTTAATGTCAGTTTCACATTACAACGATTGCATGCTTCATCGTTCACATCTGCAGAGATCGAAAAATGTGTTGGACAGGCGGATATTCTTGATGAATTCTGCGATGGGCGTCGCGGTAAACGCCAGAGCAAATCACTGTGCCTAAAAGTGAGTTTCGTCTCATACACCCCTGTCGGATTATCTTCGCTATATTCCGTGTGATTCTTGTTCACGTTCTAATTTTTTTCTGTTCGCAGACTAACATGAAGGGCGAAACCCCCTTGCATGTGGCCGCAATCAGTGGCGATATGGATCACGTGATAAAGCTTGTTGAGGTGTTGGTAAGTTTTAGGTTTATCAGCTTGTCTCTCTATTCCATTTTGCACACCAGATTCGTATGGGCTTCCTCTAATTTCTCTCAACCTACCGCGATTGTCCATCAGGCTCACCCAGTCAATGTAACAGATGGTGCCGGATGGCTGCCGATCCACGAGGCCGCGTTTCATGATCGCACCGAAGTGGCTGTCTATCTGTTGGATCATGGAGCTCGTCTGGACGATCCTGGTTGTCCTTTGGACGCATCTACTCCTCTGTTTGAGGCAATTCACAATGGATCTCTGGCTACAGCACTAGTGTTAGTTCAGCGTGGAGCTAATCTGTGGCACAGGTAAGTACATTCGCCTTCTCTTTTCCCTAATGCGGTTCTAAGCTTTTCTAACACACTAGTTCTATATTCTATCTTTTCACTTGAATAAAACCCTCAGATAAGAGAAGTTTTAAATTGGATTTTAGTAAATCGAAATCCCACCCATCCTGTTTGTAATTATTTGGACTCATGCATTCAAGGGGAGAGTATAAGAATTCTAACGACATGCGGTTTCTCTGTATTCGAAGTCATACTCTGTAACCCTCTTATCCGCACTGGGCAAAAATTGGGGTCGGTGGCTCAATCCATCTTTCCAATGGCGCTTTCTACTCTTCCAGTGGTTGTAGCCTCTGTAAAGAATGAACTCGTAAAGTTATCCATTTTCGGGATGAGGTGCCCTAGGCTTGTTGGTCCATCTCAATAGTCCTTCTCATCCCGAAACAAACACTTTCCCAGACCTGCATGAATTGAACTCAGAGAACCTGGAAGTGATTCTTCATAATCTCGGTCTTACCCCAGCGTTTTTCTCGGTGGCGATTTTCATCGTGACTATATTTTCTCATTGGTAAATTTTTTAATTCTGCGTTAAACTGATTAGTAACGTGTAACGTCTCTTTAAATCGATCTGTTTACCTGCATCTGCTGAACAAGCAGGGTGGTGCCCAATATAAGTTTCCCTATACACAAAATGTAGAATTTTTACCAGCAAACCAAGTCAATCAAATTGTGTGGGTGTTTTGACAGTGCTGTGGTAGTGCAGTGGTAGAATACACGTGCTTTGTTGCTGAAAATTTTATCAGCGCGTCCACATTCTTCAGATGCAGATTGCCTGCGAATGCAAATAACTAATCACCATCATCTGGCCGTCAAACTGACATTTCAAAAATATCTTGTATGCAGGTGTGTTATGCCAAATTTAGCGCCATACCGGCGATCGTGTTTAGGGACACTATATACATAAAGTAGGGTTCTTCAGCATTGCTCGGGGTTTGTGGTTCTGTTTCGGGATGCTGGTTTTTGTGTACACCCCTACCGCAAGAACTGTGGACGCATACGATTGTTTACTGACGTGACGGAGGAATTCTCCAGATTACTCTGATTTACACGATGAATCCATCATATCATCAAACCAGGTCCACAGCTGTTATACAGCAGGCTGGATTGTTCTAATTTACTGACGTGCGGCGATAAGCAGCCACTACCGAAACTTTCGTGGATATCCACAAATTACTTATGAGTAGTCTGAGTAGAAAGTCCACTTTTCAATCTAAAAGCATATTCGAGAAAACCTTTGTATACGTGTCGAAGGTCGTACTACCTCCAAAGGTAGTAATATTTGATTGCATCTACCTTAGAGCAAAATCTCTTGGGTTTTAGAAGCCTGGATATCTCTTGACCGAGGACAGTTTCCAGGTCCAAAATGGTGCCGTGACCAGGATTCGAACCTGGGTTCTTGCGGCCACAACGCAATGTCCTAACCACTAGACTATCACGGCAACGGTCCTTGCGAAACCAAAGGTTAATCTAGGTAACTGGCTTCTCTGCGACTATTGTTTTCCGATTGGCAGTAGAGCAGAACACGTTACGTTGTTGCACTCAAGACCACACTCTGATGTTTGGTATTCGCAAAGTGTGCTTCTTTGATAAACTGGTTTGGTTTCTTCAATAAGCCCAGTTAATTTTTGCGGTTTATGTTATTTATTTAATTCGCATGTGAGTGCAGACTGTTTGCCAAAGAAAGTTACAATAATTTTCATCTGAAGACAAGGTTTCGTGCTTTGTTTGCAAATCGCGTGAAAGCCTCGGTCCATTGGGAGTCAGTGTCGAGCTCATCGGATCATACGCACTTTGAACGAAATCAAATGTCTAAGTTGACCAATACACCACGATGCCCAGTCAGATCGGTGATCACTGCCACATTCAGGAAGATTAGTGTATATTTGGTTGCCAAGCCTCCTAGTTGGTTTGGAACTAGGGTGTTTAGCCACGCCCCCAGCCACAACCCAAGACATCCACTTTCGGTGTTCGGAAGCGTACACTTTGTTGGCTATTTTTCACTGTTCTTTGCCGTGTATTTAGACTGAAGCAGTGTGTTTAGACCGAGAGCTTTCCTACCGCCAATAACGATTTGTACGTGTTCCCGGATTCATTGGTAATATAACTTTCATTTACTTTATCACCAGTCCTCCATAATCTATCGTAAATTAACACCACCCCCCACTAGATCTGTCGACTATCTTGCGAGTCTTGTGCATACATTTTTCCTCATATATATCACAATCTTGAACCTTTATTAAGGGTAAATGACCTCAATTACCTAAAAAGGTAGAGGCCAGAGCTTAACCATAGGTGCCCGCCCGCTACCTTTTAGATCGTTTTTTCTTTTCTTTGGATGGGATTATTAAGCTTTAAAAAGTGTTGATGTAAGTGTTATAACTGTATGCCCCCAGTTTGCGAAGAACACAAATCACTGAGCTCGTGCAGGCTGACTGTAATTCTGCCAACACGATTTATAGGGCCAACGGGAGAAATACAGATCAATGATCATTAGGCCTATCGATAATGGTAAGGTCGATTGCGAAGCCGGCCTATCACGTGACATTCGATGTGGGTGAGCTATGGCATGGTTTGAGCTCTCATTACAGTAAGCATATAAAATACGTACACATCGTTTCAATAGAGTGGCATGTCTATCCCTGCATGCCACTTTCCTCCTACCCACTGACTTGCCGAATGGTTTGTGAATGAAACGTATTTTACCCCAAGTTGATCGAGGAGGTTGAATGAAACACACCAATGCCTGATGTTATTACCTAAAGAACCTAAAGAGTTATGCAAGCAAAAAAAGCTGGTCCAGACATTGTTGTTGCCCTGGACAGCGGATTGATTGTGCATAAAACAGAGCATCACCCCCCTCCCCGTCCCTCTTTTCTCGTCCATAGTATCACCAACCTCAATCTTAATAACTAATTGTCTTGTTTTTGTCTCTAATGTCCCTTCCTGATTACTTCAGCAGTGGTCTGGGATTTGTTGTGTTGATATGAACTGACCATCCTTCAAACTTCGTCTTCACGAACAGTCCTCAATTAATGCATTTAGCCATACACTCGTTCCCTCTAATGATCTTCAGCAGTATATATCCACTTTACGGGCTTTGAACTCCTAGCCATCACATGGAAAGTGTGTTTGTGTTTGTGTTACCACTGTGCCAACCACCTTACACCAAGTTAAAGTTTTCCAGTTTTGAAGCCTTTGACAAAGTAAAGAGTGAAAAGCAGAATTCCAGCATATATATAACACCGGCTTGAGAACAAGCATGGTACCTACGTCACAACAATATTAACAGTAACAATAACGTGGGGGTGGGGTGGGATACAGAGTATGGGGAAAGAGACGTAACTGTCAGAATAGGAGATGACGAATAAATGGAATAACAATATTTTGTGTTCACCGTACACTTTCTCAATTTTTTGTTTGTTGTTTTTTACGGGGCACGGGATTTTGACAGACAGCATTCGCGCCACTGACTTCTATTCCGGGCCATATCTCTCAGCTTCTCTAATCAACGAAAACCCTCATCTCTTGGGCCCCAGCCTGGAAGG